GGGTGGCCTCTTTGCTGCGGCTCCCCATTCGATGTCGCTGAAATTTGGCTGAATTGTCCACCGACGGAACCGCCTTTACAAAAGGACCTGAGTTCAAATCCTGGTGGAATCAGATAAGAGGGGGGGGGGTAACTGACTCTGAGCAAAACAAAAAGGGTGAAAGGAAAAGTCAAAAAAAAAAAAAAAAAACACAAAGCCACAAGACTCTGGAGAGCCTGAACTACCTGGGTCTCAGTTCCCCCCCCCCGCCTTAATGATGATGATAGTGCCACCACCAGTTCACGGCAGTAGACGCGGCCCCAGCCTTGTAGAAAATCGCGAATTGCCGACTAAGGGCCAGATCCCATGGCAAAGAGGGTTGGAATGAGTATCTGAATCTGGACGTGTTTCAACAGAGATGCAGAAAAGCAGATTACTCACAATCTTTTGCACCTCTCCACAAACACGTCCAGATTCAGACACTTATTCCAATCTTCTTTGCCAGTGGGATCTCGCCCTAAGAAATTTCCGCAGTCCGGGGTTCCCGGACAAGAGTGGCTGGCGGCTTTATAGCCAACAAAAAAGAAAGGAAAAAATGCGCTGCCGGCGATTCGTCAAAGCGGGGCGCCTCCAGGCCCAGGTGTATCGGTGGTTGAAGGTCACCGGCCTTTTAGGGATCGATTCCACAAAGCCCATGATGATGAAGAGCTGCGCTATCGCGACCCGCAAGATGAAGCCTCAAGAGTTCGATCCCACGGCCAGGAAGAATGGTCGGTCGGTCATATCGATGATGACACCTCAAGGTCGCCGCCCTTCCGCCCTTCTTCGTGGCTGTGGGATCGAGATCCGAGGAGTCGTCTCGCACGCCGTGATAGCGCAGCCCTTCTTCATGGCTAATGGCTGCAACCAGGCTCCATTGCTGCAACGTCATCCTTCTTCCTGGCAATTGTTAGGCATGGCTATATAGGGACACCATTCGCCCTGGATGGGTGTGGCTATAGCACCACCCTTCTCCCTGACTGGCTATGGCTATGGCTATGGCTATGGCTATGGCTGTGGCTGTGGCTGTGGCTGTGGCGCCACCCTTCTCCGCGAGCTGCCTATGGCTGCTACGACGCCATCGTTCTCCCTGGCTGGCTATGGCCGCTATAACACCACCCTTCTCTCCGGCTATAGCACTCCCTTTCTCCATGGCTCGCTATGGCTATAGCACCCGCCTTCTTTTGTTCTGGCTATGGTGAAAGCACCCTCCTTTTTCCTGGGTGGCTATGGCTATATAGCACCACCCTTCTTCCTGGCTCGCCAGCGTCCCACTCTTCCTCTTGCCTGAGTCTATCCTAGCAGTGCGAGCCCTTCTCCCTGGCTGGCTATGACTACACCTATGGCTATAGCACCGCCCATCTGGTACTTGCACCGCTCTTGTCCCACGTGCCATCAGGTACTATATCCATCACAGCAAGTGCTATACGATACTCATCCATAGTTAGGGGGAAAACGAGCGGTGTTATTACAGCCTCTCCATATAGGTGCCCGCGCAAGCGCTATAGCAGTGAAACGGCATTAATGCCGTGAAAATTGGTCACGCGAGCCAACCTTGACAGTTGAAAGTTGAAACGCCTTGAGCGCAGAAATCCCTCTCCTTATCCTCCTTTCTGCTATTCGTCGCCGTTAGTCGACTGACTGTGCTGCGCCTTGCTCTTCTTAAATATAGTTCACCATACCGACTAGGTCCATCTGCACATGAAAAGAAATTCAGAAGACAGATAAGACAAACATACAATACCAGATAAGGCTTTTTTTTTTTCTTTTTTTTTTTTTTTAAGTCAAGGGCTATGATCATCGAATGATTGAACTGATCAGCACCAGGAGGGCAATTCAGAATGATTTTATTATTCTCTTTATCTGATTTATAAATACAATCATTCAATGGAACAAAAAATGATTTATCCAAAATATATAAATAAAATAAATAAATGGATAAATAAATTAGATCAGTAATTAATGAATTTTTATCTTGAATTTATTTTATGTTCTATGTTTATAATCAATTTACATACTTCAATCAAAAAATATACTTATTTTTACAAACAAGTAAGATTCATATCAGTAATATGCTAATCAATCAGAAAATATTCATTTTTCTAAATTCTTTTTTATTTATTCTTATATAAGAAAAGAGCAATACTTCTATTGCACCAAATGTTTACCATTTATTCTTGACTAATTTGCACAAGAATCTTAAACTTCAAAAGTGAGAGGAAGTAAAAAGATTGATCTGACATTGGATGAATTGATTGATTCAATTCAGTTTTATATATATATATATGGGTTCGAACTTCGAAGTTGAGTCTGTATTTAAAAAACAGTTCAGGGGGGCTGTACCGAATACAATCAGATGGACAGAATAAAATCATTGTGAATTAGTACCTGGGGCCGGTCAGTTCAATCATTACGATAATATCTCAACGTCGTCGTCGT